CTCCCTCCCTCCCTGTCTCTCTCTTTCTCTCTTTCTCCCTCTCCCCCCACCTTGCTCTGTTTCTCAAAAATAAACAGTAAAAAGAAATAGATACTTAATATGAGAGGGTTTTTAAATAGGGTGATTAGTGAAGGGCTCTGGAAAGGTTATATTTGATCAGAGACTTTAATAAAGAGTGGCTGGGAGGGCGTCTGGCTGGCTCAGTTGGTAGAGCATGTAATTCTTGATCCTGAGTTCAGGCCCCATGTTAGGCATAGAGCTTACTTAAAAAAGAAATAGCTGGGGAAAGAACATCCTTCAGGTAGAGAGAAGAGCAAGTGAAACAGTCCCAAGGGGGAAATTGATCACATTATTTAGGGAGCAGCAATTACGGTATGAAATGAAGTCAGAGGGGGAGCCAGGGACCAAATTGTTGGACTAGCAGGTAACGGGAAGGATTTAGGCTTTTATTCCAGGTGTGATGGGAAACCATTGGAGGGTTTTGAGCAGGCTGGGACTGACATCTGGTGAAAAGGGACACTGTACGTAGTCTTCCTGCTTTGTTCCATGTTATTTCTCAGTGCTTCATATGGTGAACTCTTTTCTGGTTGTAGATCGTCTATGCTGAAAGACCCCTCACAGACAACCACAGATCGCTGGCTTCCTACGGCTTGAAAGATGGGGATGTCGTGATTTTACGACAGAAGGAGAATGCAGACCCTCGACCTCCAGTGCAGTTCCCAAGTAAGACATCCCTGACACAGGCATCAGGAGACAGCATAATGCAGTGGGTCAGAGCTGTGGACTAGCTTCGGGTTCAGACTGCGGGGTACAGAGTCTGCCCCTTGGTTGCTCTGTATCCTTGGCTGGGTTGACTTCCCTATGGCCGTTTTCTTAGCTGTGAGAATAGCGCAGCCTTCAGCCTGCCCTCGATAAATGCTCGCTTCTGTTGTGATCGATGAGAACTGTATCCTGGGGAAGGACTTAAGAGGCCATCTATGCCCGTGATTCCTGACTGACTTTTGCTGCTTCGTGTCTGGCCCTCAGCTAGCAGGCCTGTGTGGAACATTTTACAGTCAGCCAGGCACTTGCATGCACATTGCACAGGATCACGGTTGTAGGGGCAGAGATTCCTCTTTCTAATTTGTTATCGTTATTAGACAAAGCTCCGGTTTTAAGTAATGTCTTCAGTGTTACATAGCTAATAAGTGAAGGCATGGGAACTAAAACGTGGTACTTTTCCCATTGTACTGAGCTTTATGAACATTAGGCAGCCGGACCACCAGATTCTGCTCCTTGCCCACCAGCCGTGTTAATCATGTGAAAGGAAACTTACCTGTCTCGGTGTTCTATCAGGAATAGGGGTTTATAGTCTGGAATCTGTGCTTTGGGATTTAGAACGTTTCTGTGTCCCTGAAATAAATACTCACAGTTGCATGGCTGAGAGCATGTGTGCATTTGATAGGGAGAGGGTTAGTAGCTTTCTCTGGATACTCAGAGGGGTTCACGATCTACAAAAAGTGGCCAGGGTTCTGATGTGGAACCTTTAATGAAATGTAATAGTGTTTTCCATTCCCTGCTGTCTTCAGGTGGATTTGTTAAATACTGTTTAGTCTCTAGGTCAGTGGGTTTAAAGTTTGTGGTTCCAGCTGATGAGTGTCTGGGTGATGATGACACATGCCAGCTTAGAACACAGTGCATCCATTCAGCCCGAAACTGGGGCTGTAAGAGACCATCAAGCACTGTTCCTCCCAGATCGGGATTACATTAGTCCCTTGGGTCTACTGTTAAACTTTAGAAAGAGTTGTGACTTGAACATGTCAGTCAAAAAAAAACCAAAACAAATCTTCCTTTGGTTAATTTGGTGAAATTGTTAGTTCTGGAGAATTGCTGGTTTTTTTTTTTTTTTCCTGTACTGTCGCATGTAGACAAGAGAGCCAGTCTGTGGGGGAAGGGAGCAGATCTAGTCGTTCAGGTAAACAAGTTTTTCAGAATTACCCTGAAGCGAATGGACTCTCAAGATAAGTGTTACCATGGTTAAAGATAAAAACTTCTTACCCTGCAGAGAAGGCCCACCCATATATGTGTTGCTGGTTGGTATGGATTAACTCCCTCATGCGCATGTGTGTATACACACACACACACACACACACACAC